CTTTGTCTGCTGACCCCCACTGGCCCATTGCCCGGCTGTCCACGTGGCTCCTTGGGCCACCGCGCTGGGGAGGATCCGAACGCAAGGTCACTGCGGCCTTGAGAATCAAAACCCGTCGTGTTTATCTCGCTGCCATCCTCTGGCGAGACTCCTGCCTCCTCTGGGACGTGGTTTTGGAAGCAGCTTGGGATCCAAGCTGCCGTTGGGGCTGGATCCTTTTTGGGGGGTCAGCTGGGGAGCTGGGGGCGCCAAAACCCCCTCCCAGAGCCCTCTGTCCCTGTCCCCACCATCCCCACCAGCAGAGACAGTCTGGGATTGACCGCAGCGTCCCGTCTGTGGGGTTTGGTGGAGCAGGCACCGTGCGGAGACCGCAGTGGGGCTGGAAACGGGGTTTGTCCTCTCCCCGCTGCTCGCTTACCCGCCAGCTCTTGGGTTTGGGCTCCAAGGGGTCACACCAAGGGGCAGAGTGCAGTGTGTGGGTCTCCAGCATGGCCAACTGCAGGATTTTTGTGGTTGGAACAGCCCTGGGGTCTGTCCTTTGCTGGCGGCACTGCCCGTGGCCTCTGTGTCTGATCCTGCTGCCCCGTCGTGCGAGAAGTTTTTCTGATGGCGCCCATTGTGTTCCATCAGGCACTGGATTACTGTCACAGCATGGGCGTCATGCATCGAGATGTCAAACCGCACAACGTCATGATCGACCATGAGCACAGAAAGGTACGAAACTTCCCCTGGAACAGTCGATGCTGCTGGATCCTGCCCGTTGCCAGCATCACGGGCGCTCCGGAGCCCATATCCAGGCAGGAGAGCATCGCCTTTAAATCCCAGTTGATTTAAATTTGCCCTTGTTTGATCTGGATCCCAGCAGACCCCAGTGCGAGGAGGGGGCTGAATTTCCAGCTGTTTTTTTTGAGGGAGGGGCAAATCCAGGTGATTGTAAAACCTGCACCTGCGTCCCATAAACTCTTTTTATTCACCATCTGTCACAAACTCTGTCTCATAAATAGAACTCAAGATTTCTTCCAGCACCTCTGGAACAACTGCCCATCTGGGACCTCAAATAAAAAAGGGACTTCAAAAGGTGCCTGCTCCCACGGCAGGAGACCGGGTGGCTCCCTGTGGCACCGGCAAAGCTGCCTGCAGCTGGTGAACGCCCCCGTTATCAGAGCGGAAAGG